TTTAAAAAAAAAAAAAAAAAAAAAAAAAAAAAACAGTAAATTTCTTTTAGAATTTAGGCTATATTGAGTTTTTTGTTTGTCACTGAACTCTCGAGCAGGATTTTATATGGTTGTCGAAACTGAAGTAGTTTTTTTAGATAGGATCATCCACAAATTACCAGTATTGTTAGGAGTAAAATTATACAGTGAAGTACGGGAAAAATTTTACAAAAACCTGAATGTGGAAGATGAAAGGTACAACGTCAATTTGAACAAACAATTTATTTCTACAATTTTTCAAAATTAATTTAAAGAACACATTTTTTTGAACTCTTTACTGAGAAAATAAAAGCAGTTTTAGTTGTATAAATTGTGGTCATCGAGTTGCACCCGAATCACAAATACGTAGCAATTTCTTCTTTGAATGTTCGCGCTGTAACGCACAGTACTGCAGGTACTGTTCTTCTTAAAGCATTGTTTCATACTAAAAGTTTTTGCCAGCACTTAAACCTGAACTGGTACCTCAGTGTTTGGGTGTTGTAGATAAGTGTAATATTAAGCTGATCCTTCATTTTCCATATATTTCAATTTTCTTTCTTTTTTTACATTTAATTTTTTTATTTTTTCGTTAGTATGATTATGCCTTTTCAGGGCATGTTTACAGGATTGGACTGATGCACACCGAGGAAGACTGTGTTCCGAAATCTGTGACCTAGCTTTAAAGTAATAAAAACCAGCTTAATTTGTTGAAAGACATTAGAAAATTGAATTATTGACTAATAATTTTAGAAATTAGAGAACGTTGCAAATAGATTTTAAATAAATATTTTTGACGTTAGTTGAATCTAGTCTAGATTTATTCAATAAACTGAGATATTTTATTGTTCTTAAGCAGTAAAGACTGTAGCACTTATATAGAACTTGCCGGTAACAGTGGGGAAATTTTTATGCTTAATTAGATTTGAAATTTGTTTTAGTGAAGATGCACCGTTTCGCGAATGCGACAGTTGTGGATATGAGTATAAAAAAAACGGCAGGTGTAACATGATTTCCTGTCAGTGTGGCGTCAAATACTGTTATCTATGTGGCACAAAAGACGTTACGGAAAAGCATTTTTGTTCGTAAGTATCTGCTTCCAGTGCTCTGCACATTCGATTGAGAAGGATGTTGCCAAAAGACGTTTTCACTTTTGACAAACACTGAATTTAACGAAATTTTAAGCTACTTATAGAGTTTTTTTGGAAGATATTATAGTAAAGTAAGGTTAAAGCTAATTTGATAGAAATTAGTAAAATTTGCATTTAAAATGAATTTACCATTTAATACAGCAATCAGTATCTTGCAGCTACTATTTTATTGATTTTAATAGTTTTATATTCAGTAATATTAAAGAAGATGCGGAGAATTGTGAACTTTGCAAAGGCAGATGTCACTTGTATACTGGTGAAGAAGAATCTGTTTCTAGTGAAACTGTGCAAGATACAACGGTTGAAGAGGTTTATCTGATGTTTTAAGTACTTTTACTTTTTTCCGCTTTGATACTCAATACTCAACTAATAGTTGGCAAAAAAATTTCAAAATTACATTTATCTGTATTTAACTAAAAGAAGAAAAAACCTCGTGTTATCAAAAACTTATTTAAGCTTTTGAAGAAGCTTATTTATTTATTTTGATATAAAGCAGAATGAAAAAGATTTTTGATATGCCAAGTTTTATTAGTTAACTAAGCAGTTACTTTTTTCAATTCAGAACTGCAGGCGCACGAAATGTTTATACAAATATTTCTTTATAAAATCTAATGACTATACTAAATGACAAATTTTTATAGTAATTTTTATTGCTTTATAGTTCTTGAAAGAACATATTTACTTTTTAGCAAAAATAATTAAGAAAAGATTCTTTATTTCTCACATCTCAATTAAGTCTTTTAAATTTTTTTTTGATTTATCAAGTTAGTACTGTGTAAACTTCGATCAAAAGATTGTGCTATTTACTGTAAGAAAGTACATCTGTAGTAGTCTTGAGGTTTGGTAAAACCTAAAACAAGCAAGTTGCTGCTAATTATAATTACGTTAGAAAAATTTGTAAATTGTTTTGTTGGTTTTTTTACATCTTATTGCACGTAAAAAAAAGTGTCCTATTTAGAGTGTTTAAAGTATTATTAAAAATTAAAAGCAAGAATTATAAAAAGCTGCGATTAAAAAATCTAAAATTATAAAAATTTTTGAAAAGACACAGTTTTGGTAAAATTTTTTTTTATTATAAGTTATTTAAAAAACAAAGTTAGACTAGTTTTGTTCAGAACTATTTCTTTGGCTTAACAAGTAGTCAATGCAGAAAACGGAAAATTCTGTATTAAAAATTTTTGAAAAATGTTTTCAACTTTCTGTTCTAAAATAATAAAATAAAAAATTGAACAATTCTGCTAATTGATATAGATTTTTGCTTGTCTATTCAATAAAATATTCTTGTATTAATTAAAAATTAGTTTAGAAAAATAATTCTTGTTAGAAAAAATTTGGGAAATAAGCACTATCAAGCATTAAGTTTTTAACTTTTCTTATTGCCTCAAATTTTCTTTTGCACAATTTAAGATACATAAATCATTGTCTTTCGTTACTGCAAAAATAAATTTGAAAATATTAAAATAAAAAATTTTACTTTTTTTTTGTGTAAAAAAAAGCTGTAGAATTTCTAAAAAGCAGAAATTTTCGCTCTAAAAGTGGCTTTTTTTACTGTTTTTTGTGGATTCATTCTACAGTTGCTTTAAATACTCTTTTAAGCAGTTCCACTGTCATCAACTGAATACTTTTTCGTTTTTCTGTCTTGCTAATATTCTGTTTCTACTTTTAGTAATCGTGGAAAGGTTGAATGTGATTACAGAATTTCAAACCGTAATAAATAAACTCTACACATTGACCTCTTCAATGTTATTGACTGATTTGAGTCGATCAAATTTTGTTAATTTGCTCATTTAGCTGCTTTATAGCTATTTAATTAAAACCAGTCATTGAACAGATTTTTATTCTAGAACTACTGCTTACTCGCTTCGTGTCAATCAAGACACTGCTTTTTCGCTTATGTTTCACAAAATTTGCACTATCTTACTGGCATAGTATGATCTTATAAGATGAAAATAGTCTAACAACTTTTTTCACTTCAACTGTTGACACAAGAACAGTGATTTTTTGAGAATTATCACTGTTATTGTTCAGAATAAATTTCTGTTTGGTTTAGTTTAGAAATACGGTGTATAACTTGGAATAATTACAAGTTTTAGATTATTATCACATGTGCCGCATGTCTCGAGGAAGTCGTGTTGAACAAAACAGTTTGGTGCAAGCCTGAAGATAGTGTTAGAGTTATTTTTTTAATCAAATTTAACGCAATTTATACAGCCGCTAACTTTTTCACCAACTTCAGTAGGTTTTCAAACCAATAAATGTAGTTCCTTCGTCTGTGACACAAACTACCACCCTCATGCAGAAGGGTTTTTTGCGTTTGTTGAGAAAATTTTTATTACAAATTTTCTGTATCAACTCTGCTCTGGCTACCACTGGTGGCAGCCTGAAAAGTGCTAATTTTTGGCGAAAAAAGCTGCGGGAAAATGAGATGCAATTTCTACTTGGCATTTTTACTTAATTTTTAAGACTTTTGCCTGAATATTTAGCTTATAAAATTTTTGTTATAGAGCTCAAACTCAAAAGCAGACCATGTTTTCTGTTTCAAATGCATCGAAAATGAAGTACGAGAACTGGTTGATGGAGGAGGGAATATTGAAGTACTTGGATTTCCTTGCATAAAAGGGCGAGGTTGTTCACAGATATTATACTGGGGTAAGATTTGTTCTGACTGTTTTTTTATCATTGATTTTTTGAACAATTAATTGTTTTAAATTTTTTAATAACTTTTTGCAACTTGGTGTACCTTTTCTTTATTATTAAAAAAAGCGAAGTCGTTGACAGGACATTCACTGAAGGTTTCGTTGGCTAGTGTGTTAATAAATCCATTCTTGGTCAATTTATTTTATCTTTGACAACGCATTTATCACTACCTCTTTTCGGAATAATTTAGTAGAATCTACGTTTTTCCCGTATTCAGGCGTTGGTTAGATGTGAATGCCTGCTGACATTGTCAAAATGTTTTTAGTTTTTTAGAATTGCTTTAGCTATCCTGTAGCTGTCCTGTCGACTGTAAAAATCTTCTTCAGATAAAATTCTAAAGGTGCTACCAGAGCCATTACGTGGTAGAGTAGAAGTTATGGTACAGAGTGCAAACCTACGAGCTAGTGATATCGAAGTTGAAAGGTGGGTAAAATCAACTTGCTTAAACAACTTTAAATATTCTTTAAATTTTTAAAATTAGTTTATTTTCACTTTTTCTCAACTTATTGAAAACCAAATTATCATGATTACAGCTGCAGAAACTGTGGCTTTTCTGCTTCGCTTGAAGAACCAAAGACTGCAAATCAAGTATTTAATTGCCCAAAATGTGATGCAGCGCAATGCAGGTAGGTTCCTAAGCGAAGAAATACTTAGCACAGATAGCTCGTTATCAACGAGTACATTTCACAGTAACACTCTTATTCTGTTGAACTTGTTCCTCGTTCAGTGGTAAGATCAAGAGAGTTATGGTCAACATCCAGCTCAATCAAATTTGAAGTGGAAAATACGTGCAACTGATATTTTTGAAAATAAGAATATCAAAAAATCTTGTTAAGTATTTAAAAGTTAACTATTAGAGAGTATTTGACATAAATTACTTGTTCTTTTGTCTTGAAGCATTGCTTTTTAAGACTGTGTTTGAGAAAGTGGACTAAAGAGCACGAAGGCCGTTCCTGTGAGGAAATGCAGAATTTAGAAGCAAGGTACTGATAAAGTCGTCATTTTATAAAGGAATCAGACGATGAATAAAATTGAAAAGACTGACAGATCATGAAAGTTGCATGTTTCGCAAAGTTCCTCGTCTTAATAATTTTTTTAGATTTTACAGTCAAAAAAACAGTGTCAAATTTTTGAATTAGATAATTAAAAATAAAAGAACGCATAAATAACGAAAATATTTGTTATTTTAATTAAAGCCAAACTTTTATGGAAAAAACTGTACAAGTAATGCGTAAAAAAGTGCTTGTAAAATAATATTACTTGCAAATTTGAACGATTACCCAAAAAGTATATTTTTTGTGATAAAAAACAAAAACTAAAAGCTTTTAATTGTAAGCAGTGCAGTCTCTGCCGCCAGTTGTCGAAATTCATGATCAGTGATTACAGTCACAAAACTCCAGCCGATTCAGCAGTTCACATATGTGGGCGTTGCGGGATGGGATACGAAAGAAAAAAAAGACTTAACAGGATTACTTGTCGATGTGGTGCTGTATATTGCTACTTATGTTGTCAGGCAGATGTTACATACGACCATTTTTGCCTGTAAGTATTTTGATTCTCTGAAACGTCAGGATCAGTAGAATAATTTTACCTTTCACTGTTTCTTAAACGAAGCAAAAGTAATTCAAAATTTAAGCTAGCAGGAGTTAGTAAAGCAAAACGTTGCAAAGCGGCCATTTTTGTTGAATAGAAATTGATCGTAATCGGCCTGCTAACCATTCTCTTCAAACATAGAAAACATTTGCTGTTGCGTACTGCTCAGTGACCCGTTTTCTAACATTTGCTATACTAGGTTTTTATTTAGTCATAGACCTACAAGCGGTGATGACCAGCAGTGTCGGGAATGTGGAAAAAAGTGTCGTTTGCACGTTGGTAAAACAGGCAGTAACATCAAAGATGTTTCTGAAGTTGAAGAAGAGGTATCTATGATGTTTCTTTTCTTTGTAATTTTCTCTGTTGCTGTTATCATACTCCTATGAATCGACAGCACTACTACAAACTTCTCTTTCTAAAAAGACTTCAGTAGAAAAACTTTTGGCTTAAACTATTTTTTTCACGAGTTGCAAAAAGAACACGAAGAGGAAGAAATTGACCTCTTTTTTTTCTTACAGAACCACTTTATTTAGTGGAGCTAATAAATGTGATATTATTAAATACTTTTATCTAAAAATGAACGTAAGTAAGAAGTAATTTTTATAACCTGGTTTTGTTTAGCAAATATAAATTCTTCTTATCAAAACGTTTGCAAATTAAAAGCAGTTGATTTTGAATAGTCAACTACACGCTTTGTCACTCCTCTGGTTTGAAAGCATAGGTAATCGTTGTCTTCAAGTTTCTACTCTGTCACCCTGTCTCTATTTGGCTTTTCAGAAGTTCTCTGTTACTCGAGCAGATCCGCCTGTAGTCTCTTTAGTTGAAATTTAAAATAAAAGGCATTACTTCTTTATTATACATTGCTGCTTTCATTGAGGTGCAGTTGGCAGCAAAACCAATACTTCTTTCATCTTGATTTACTGAATTAAAGTTTTGTTTTTTAGGCTTTAGTGAAATGTCTGATATGCTTTGAAGAAGTTCCAAACAACGAAATAGTTTGGTGCCAATCGAAGAAAAATGTTAGAATTAGCTAATCGGTGTTGCTCAATCAAATTATAGTGTTTGTCAAATTGGAAATCATCTATAAGCGAAAAAATGTGAATAAGGAGGAATAAGTCGGAATGGCTTATCGACTTTTTCCGGCAGTTTTATCTTTGTCTTTTAACTATTTATCAAAATTGCTGTTTTTTGGGGTAATGTAAGAAGATACCTAAAAATATTGATAAATTTCATTTTAGCAATCTAGAGCAGGTGCTGATCATCCATTCTGTGCAAAGTGCGTTCGTGGTCAAGCGAAAGAAATAGTGGATGGTAGTGGACGTGTGGACCTAGTAGGAATTCCATGCATGAGCGGCGAAGAATGTTCAAACGTTCTTCACTGGAGTGAGATCTATTAAAAGACACTTTGTTATCCAAGTGTTTGACTTAAATTAGAACTTAGATCTGAGTAGGCTTTTAAATCACGAAATTTCTTACCTTCGGTCTTTTTTTTGAAGGTTTTTTGATAAACTAAAAAGAAAGATAGTATTTCAGAATTATTTGTGACGGAAAATACTAATTAGTTTTTTTGCATCTTTCTGATGCTGTTTATGGTAAACTGAGAATTACTTTGTTTAGGTGAAATTCGTTCATTTTTAACAGGACCGCTGAAAAGAAGATTGGAAACTCTGATACAAAATGAAAATTTGCAAGCTACTGAAACAGTAGTTGAACGGTTGGTATTGAATTTTTCTTAATGCAATCACTGTGATTTTGCAAAGCGTTGGAGGTTAGAAGAAGTACCTAGACTTTTAGGAAGTTTATTAGCGGATAACACTGTTGAGTTTCAGTTGTAAAAAGTGCGGTTTTTCTGCTGAAGTTGGAAAATCTAAAGAAGAGGAACAGGTATTTCGTTGTCCTGAATGCGGAGCAGAGCACTGCAGGTACTCCTTCAATTGCAACAGTACTTGGTATTCTATTTCTTCTTGGAGCTCATAACTGTGTCACTCTCGAAGTAATGACTACAAAACTGCTACAGAAGACTTTTTGTTTTTTAAAATATCAAAATTAGCGACAGCAGAGTGATTCATTTTGTCTTCGTTCAAAAAAGGCTTGAAAACTTTACCAGTTAAATTTATTTTTTCTTTAACTATTTTGTGGTTCATTTTAGAATTTGTTATGAAGAGTGGACCACAGAACATAAACAGCGTGGGTGTAATGGAAATGAAGGCGCAGCTTTACGGCAGTAGTAAGCAAGTTTATGTCGCAGTGTAACTAAATTTTGAAAAAAAATTGATAGTCAGTTGTCTTTTGGGTAAAGACTTTTGGTTTTGAGAAAACTGTTGCCTTACAGAAAGAGTTATAAACAATGTTGATTAGAGTATTACATCGAAGTATATTTTACTCTGTTTTTGGATGTTGAGGCGTTTGAGAAGCTGTTTCTTTTCACGTTTTTTCTATGGCTCTCAAACTTTTCTTTGGTCATTTTAGTGCTGTGATCTGGTACTTATTCTAGCCAAGAAAAACTGACTAACGCAGTACTTCGAGTGTGCGAGAAATGCGGAATAAGTTACTCAAAGGACGCTGGATGTAACAAAGTTACTTGTCGGTGCGGAACTACTTACTGTTACATATGTCGCCAAAAAGACATCAAATACAGCCACTTTTGCTTGTAAGCATCTTTAACTTGTTGACTGTTGATAAGCCTACTGTGATACCAAATCTGTTGTTTTGCAAGAACGCCAGAAGTAGTCATTATGAAGAAACTGCATTTCAAAATGTCTTCTACGAAATCAGTCTATTCGGTTAACTTAACAAATACGAGAACAGTCTAAAAAATTTATGTGAAAGTACTAAACAATTCTTGCACTTTGTTTTGCTTTAAAGAGTGCTGAATATTGTATTAATTGGTAAAGTAACATCGTTTGGTATTGACCATTTTTCATATTAAGTCATATGACTAAACCTGTCGGGGAGAAATGCGGTTTATGTGGAAAAATCTGTACACTGTATGGCGACACAAAAGTATTTATCGACCGTGAAGTGGCACAGATTAATGAAGAAGCAAGGAAAAATCCTCAACTTGGTACCAATTTTTTAACATATTTTTGAAAAAAAATTAATTCGTAGAAAGTTTACAACTTTTGAAATCAGAAGATTAAATTGTTTAAATGTACAGTATTTGTTTGAGCGAGAAGTTTTAAAAGTTTTAATTATTAAATCTTTAAAAGTGAGTATTAAGTATTCGTCATTAAGGGAAGAAATAGATCCTCAGCAGGGGTAACAGTTTGGCTAACCGCAGCTGTTTTCGGAATTTTTAGGTGGTTTAATCGAGACAATTTCTGCTAAGTAATTTATTTTCTGACTAAATTGATGCATTAACTTCTTTTTTACATTTTTCTGTTACATTCTTTTTCTACAGAAAAACAAAACTGAGTACCTCTGAATTAACAATGTTAATAAAATTTGTTTTAGAAATTTTTATTATCAACCTATTTTACGCTTTTAATCAAATGGCAATCAATAACTGTTATCTTTCAACTTTAGATAATTGTATCATACAAGAAAATAAAATTATATTATAAAATCATCAACACTCAAAGCTGCAAAATCTTTGCAAATTGCATTGAGATGAAAAAAATCATTTTAAGCTTTGACTTTTGCAGTGATGCTTCTATTTGCAGTGGAAATTGTGCAGTTCTTGCTGGTCAACTTAGTCAAAAATGAAATATTTTTTATAGAGTTTTTTTAGCTTTATAGTCTGATTAACATTAATAATACAACAGTGGTTGAGAATTAATAAACTCTTCTACATTTTGGGCAAAATTTTAGAGAGCTGAATTTTAACAAGTTTATCGAAACTATAATAAAATAAGATAAAAAATTGCTGATGACAGTAAAGAAAATTGATAACGAAAATTACAAGTCATCAGTCAGGATTGTTTGATAATTTACTGTGCTATAAGTGTGTGTCAGAAAGTGTCAAAACTTGCAAAAACATAATATGGGTAAATTATCGCTTGCGAAATGTATGCTGGTCAAGATTTATTCAAGGTTACTGTTTAAAAGAAAGAAGAAAAAGTAACAGGTTAAAAAGCTAAAATCTTTTAAAATAAAAAATATAATTTATTAAGCATGTTACTTGTTTCAGCAGAACTTATACCTCTTGCCGATGAAGCGTCTAAGACTGCAGATTCATGAAGTAACTCAATCAAGCTGTTCTTAAGTTTTTTGCATATATTCTTTCAGTGAAATTTAGTGGTTTTTAGAGGTTACCGAAAAGAAAAACCTGTTTTACCTATATCCTTTCTAATTTTCAAACTTAATTCATCTTTTTTGTTTATTTTTTAGCTTAGTTTAGTGGTATTTCATTGAACGAAGACTGCCAACAAAAAGCAGGTTTATTATAAAAGATGTGGTTTTCACTGTCACTTTTTTGAAACTTTGAACACGATGTCAACATGTCAAAAAAAAAACGTTTATTGAAGTATATTTCTCTTGTTGTAACCTTACCCATACTAGATATGTTTATCCAACACTAAGTTTCTTCTAAAAAAACATGAATATTGGCTTCTCTTTGTTGATGTAAATTAGTTTTTTTTCTATTTTCCTATTTGTTCTTATGATTATAGTGACCAGCTTTGTATATGTTAACCTCATATATGAAGAAGTTATTGCTACTTAGCTACAACTTAACTTTCTTGCTCAATAACACTGTTTAAACAATGTCAGCCAATGTTGGTCAATTTTTTAGCTCTATTTCTTGTGCTACCTTCATGTAAACCTTTAATTGTTCACATGAGTGCTTTAGTATTAAAAAATAAAGAATTTAAAAACTCATGAAACTGAAGGCGTTATACGTGTAGTGACTCCATTGTCCTCATGATGGTAGTAGCGAATCAACAACGATAGCCGGTGAATGCTAATCTTTAGTGGTTTAGAACACAAACTGTAAATTCTATTATTTAGATATAAAAATCACAAATTTTGCTTTTATTTCCTTTTAAATTTTTCAACAAAAAATTTTGAAAAATTTTTTTCTTAAAAAGTTTTTTTCAGAAGAGAAGAAAAAGCAAATGAAAAGTAAAAAAGATGCTCTGTTTGCTAAAGGCAGATACAAAGAATAAAAGCTATTTATGCTTTAGCAGCATAACGGAAATTCTAGAAAAAAAAAAGCTCTGTTTGATTTTTGGTTGGTTTTTATAAAACACTAAGCTTACAATAGTCTGTTGCTTCAGACAAGTAAAACCGACACTGCAATATATATTAGTTGTTTATCAAGATGATATTGCAACGGCTGATACGGCTGATACAGTTAGCTTTGGTAAACGCTAAAAGTTTTGAAAAACATTTTTTTCTAAGAATTAATGAGGTAAAAGACGTCTGCTACTGGCAGTTGAGTACCAAAAAAAGAACCTACGAAATTTTAGTTGCAAAACTTGAGTGCTAATTGCAGCGTCATATACTTCCCTCGTTCCTCTTCGGTTTCACTGTATTTTAAAAAACTTAATGGAAGAAAGTTTTCAAAGTTTAGAATGCGTCGAGAGGCGTTGTCAAAGAATATTCAGGATTTTTAGAAACTGATCACCTTTAAGCAGCAGGCGAATTGATACTAAACACGTTGGTATTTTTCATTAGTATACTGCACAAAGTTATCAGTTAAGGAAAGTCGTTGCATTTAACATTAGCGCACTATCTGCTTTAACCAAAAATAGACATACGTAAAAGCTTATCTAAAAGTAACTCGTCATGAGTGATTGTAATAACAGTTCGAGAATTAATAAGCAGTATTTTATTGTTGAAAACTTATTGTAAAAGTTACAATAATTTTTTCTCGATTTCATAATTAAAGTTTGAAATTTATTCTGTTTTTCAGTTTTATATGCAGACCCAAATACCTATTCGTTTGGAGTTTTATGGTTATATGACTTTTACTCTTTTTTTTGCCTATTTTGCAAAACAAAACCACATCTCTTGTTTTTTTTTTTTAAGTACACCAACAGACATTTGAAGCAAAATAAAGTGTCACTCAGTAATCATAATAATACGCTGTGAAATTGCAAAAGGCAGCTTAAGTAAAGCTGGTACGATTTTATGTTCAAGAAGCTGTTTATCAAAAGAAAGCGAAAGCGGATACAGGCAAACAAAGAATAAAATAGTTCTGTCACACTCTGACGATGCTGTAGTCCTATACGAAATAGGTATAAACAATGGCTTCAGATGTTTCTTTAGTATTCTCCAGGAAAACTACTTTCATACAGCTTTTTAATTTTTACGCAATACCTAAAATTGTTTATTTAAAACTTAATGATTTTCTTCTTTTGTTTTTAAATTCTTTCATTTTTTGTCTAGGTTAGACCTCGTTATCTGTATAAGAGGGCTACTTGTAGGCACGTTTCAATATAAAGTGTTTTCCTTTTTTTTTCGTCTTATGCTTACCTTATCGGTAAAAAGAAATTAATGTGTATGGTCACGTATCACGCGATTGCTGAGTTTTTTCAACTTTTTAATTTTTTATATTTTTTGTGTTCTCAATACTGCCTATTTTTACTTTACTTTGTTTTATTGCTTTGTTTTCTTACTTTTTGTCGGTAGAAAAACAAAACTTTGTGAACTGAATTTTAAGAAGTTGTAAAGCTGTTTCGTTGTTGGTGACTTCTTTTATATTTTATAAGTCTGACAACAAAAACCTGGAAGCAGACGACGTTATGTTGCTAACAGAATTTTTAAAAGTGCAAGAAAATGAGCGAATTTTTTGCGTTTTTAATGAAAAGAGGCAATAATCTGAGCTGTCTTTCACTTTTCACTATATAAGAAGTAATGATATTATTTTTTAAGTTATTCTTTAAAAAATATCGTGGAAATAAAAAAAGAAGAGTTTTAAACGTAGCTTTTTTAAAGAGTCTTAAGGCATGTAAGGCTTCCATCAAATTCATGCACTGCAAGCTAATTCGTTAAGTGAACTTATAAAAATGTCAGCTATAATTATAACGAACAACAGTTTCCAGCTCTGAGCGTTGAAACAACTAAAGTCAAAAAAAAAGTGCTTGGTATTGATATAGGAAGTATTTGCATACAATTGTACAAAGGGATATAAGATTTGTATAACTCAAGTAAGGTTCATTCGCCTGATCTGCTGTATCTGCTGTTTGGCACTTAAGGAAACGACCTTTTTTTTGGGGAATACATACTGCGAAAAAGAGCTATGCGCATTTAAGAATCAATAATTGAAATTTATGTAAAGTTACTG